GGCTGGCTGGGGAATTCTGAGAGTTGAAGTCCACCCATCTTAAAGCGGCCAAGGTTGAGAAACACGGACCTAGATTCAGGTTGGGACAAGCACACATAGAAGTTATCTAACGTACTAGCGCTTGGGAAATCCTGCCCTAACTTACTAGAAACAGCCACTGATTCAACAATGACAAAACGAGGAAGAAGTTGTTCTCAAGAGGATTCCCAAAGCCACCTTTGAAATCCAACGAGGACTTACTGGCCACAGACCACATGGTTTAGAAGGGACAGTTGTCCCGGGCGCTGTCACTGACCATCCCATCCGTTTTCAACGCACTGAGAAAACACTTGTGCCTTCAACGCAAAGGGCCTCGCTGGAAAGTTTTCTGCGTGCAAGCTTGGTGGACACCCAAGCTTGGCGAATCAAGCAAGGGGTAGGGGAGATCCCGTCCCCCAGCTGTTCACGTGGCCTTGCGAAGGGATCCTTTTTCGAGATGGGCCTATAAAGTTAGGATATGACCACTAACCAAGCTATTTACAAAGAAGGAGAGACAGTAAACCACGCCATTGAGGACCGTAAATAAATACGGCTACGGACGATCTCTACAGTGCAATGACTTAAGGATGAGGTAATTGAAACCAGGCTGTAGTGTGGTGTTGCAGTTGGTGGACGTTTGCTGAAAAACTCAAATCGAAGAGCAGACCTCCCGGGTTGAGTTTGGTCTCTTTCTTTCTCTCCTCTGAAGAACCAGCCTTGCTTCGCTTCACGCTGGGTAGGCGTGGAGAAATTCCTTCAGCTTGGTGGGGTAGTCGGTCATCACACCAGTTGCCCCCAGGTCAAACGCTCGCTTGTATTCCTGGTCTTCATTTAGCACCCAGATGTACACCTGAAGGGAACAGCTGGGAGTCATCTAGGTGCCCCCCTGGGATTCCTGAAAGTGAGCTTCAATCTTGCTGCATTCCTTAGTCCCCAGCTGAAATCAACTCTGTGTGCCAACTGCTTCGGCTCACGTTCATCCTTTGCTGCCTATTTATTTATTTATTATACTAGTGTAGGCTTTCACGGCTGGTATCTGTTGGGAATGTTGGGCTTCAGGATTTAGTGACCATGGTCTAGACAACAGATTTCGTGGCATTTCACCAGCAACTGTGGCTGGCAGCTTCAGTGGGTGAGGGCTGGTCTCTGGAACCAACTGGAACTCACCAACCTTCTCCAATCGAAAACCAGCTCAGCTACAGACCAGTCAGAAGTCAGGTCACCTGGCTATAAAGACAGGAGCCCAGTCAGTCCCTCCTCAGTTGCCTGCAGTCTGCATGGCAGACCACCTTGCCTCTGAAGACGCCAGCCACAGTTGCTGGTGAAATGCCACGAAATCTGTTGTCTAGACCACGGTCACTAAACCCTGAAGCTCAACACTGCCAAATGTTCATTCATTTATTCATTCATTCCATTGATATGGCCACCCATCTCAAATTTATGACTCGGGGCAGCTAAGACTGTTAAAAATATAAAAACATAAAACAACAGACACCCACGGACACAGAGAACAACAGCTGGGGTAAAAACAGATTGATTAGTAACCATTGGCATAACCAATGCTGGGGTCAACCCCACTTCCTGACTGCCAGGCCTGGTAACAGAACCAAGGTCTTTAAGGCCCTACAGAAGGCTGACATTAATCTCCCTGAATGCAGACTGCAAGCTTTTTCTTTTTATTCCCTCCACCTAGAATGCTCTAATTCCCTTGTGTGGAATTGGAGGACAAACTGGGTGGCAACTGACATTTGAGGTGAGAATCAAAGGCCCAGTGGATCCTGTCAAACATGCGGGCAGGGATAAATATTTGGGTATGGGTCAGTGTTTTAATTCAGGCCTCGCGCACAGGTGTTGATGTGTTTCTCCACCACAAAGTGGCATCCAACCCCACAAATGGTTCTAGTGATGTTTGGTAATTCAGTGGGTGGAGAACCAGTTTCAGGGATGGACAGCAAATCCATCCTTAATATACATCAAAGAGTTTCAGTTTGCTATGCCCTCATGGGGGTGAGCAAAACAGAACCACCTGGCACACCTTGGCCTCGGTTGTTTTCTTTGAATGTGAAGAACAAAATGGCCTCTGGTCTCAGGCGAGCAGAGAGAAGGATCAAGAACCAGTGTGGGTTTAAACTGCAGAGTAGGAGATTCAGGCTGGACGCCAGGAGGAAACTCCTGATCGTACAAGCCGTCAGCCAGCGGGACAGACCACCACATGAAGTAGTGAGTTCTCCGTCACCGGAAGTCTTCAGAGGGAGGCTGGCTCTGCCTTCTTAAGCTCTCGGGGGGAGAGGAAATGCATGGGACCTGTATTCCCTCGGAGTTTAGCTTTAGAGCTGGCCAGGAAGCTGATGGCCGATGGCTGACAGGGAAGACCACTTCTCCTTCAGTGCGTGCCGAACAGGGGCATGGGAGAGGGGCGCTCTCTTACGTTTGGCAGCCCAAAGTCATTACTTGCCCCAAGTCAACTTGAGACGGAGGGACCCCGACAAATATTTTGCAGAAAAACTGTACCTGGATTCCTCGAGCAGTGAGGTGGTCAAATAACGTTTTCCTCATTAACAATCTGCAAGCATTGGAAGGGGAACATTGTCAATTGGTGTCCAACGTCCAACTGTCCTCTCCCTCCAAAATCCAGATTGGTCAAAAAATGCAAGTCAACTTTCTCTTTAAAGAAGCACTTTGGATGGCTTATAAAAGTTAACACAATACACAGGGCCACCCACGGGTGGGGTGGGGGTCAAAAAAAATGAAGATGGCAGCTGTGAGCAAAGCCCCGTTCCTTTTTACTTACATCATAGCGGCAGCTGCCATCGGGACTTTTTTGACCCCCATGGATGCTTCTTCCAATTGAAATACAGGTAGTTCTCACTTAACAACCACAATAGGGACTGGAAAATTGGTTGTTAAGTGGGGTGATTGTTAAGTGAGTCACCACATGACCAGATTTTATGACCATTTTTATGACGGCCGTTAAACAAATCACCACAGTTAAGTGAATCACATGGTCGTTAAGCAAATCATGTGGTCATTAAATGAATCCAGCTTCTCCAATGGACTTTTTTGTCAGAATTCACTTAACGACTGTGGTGATTTGCTTAACAACTGTCATAAAAAAGGTCGCAAATCGTGATCACATGACTGCAGGGGATGGTGTGACAGTTTGCAATGGTCATAAGTGTGAGTACAGGTTGCAAAGCACTTTTTTGAGGCTGTCATATCTTCAAACCATCATTAAACAAACAGTTTAAGCGAGGACTAACTGTAACTGCATCAGGGGCACAGTGGCAGCAGATTAATGTGAGAAGATGAAGAGCAGACTTTTTAAAACATTAAGATGAATTTATCATCAGATGGCAGGCAGTCTCAGGCAGAGAAAGTCTTTCTTGTCAGTTGCTAACTGATCCTGAAGAAACTCAGTTTGGCTTGGCCCATCTTTCATCATAAAAATGCTGTGTGAGCAGGACTAGTGTCTCTGGGCATGTCACAGAGCAAGCTAATCTCTGATATGACTGTAGCCAAGACTGAAGAGTGCAATGGCATCTAAGGCTGGGCAAAAGGATTTACTCTCCACCCAATGAGGGGTAATTTGGAAGGAGGCACTAAGTCATGCAGAGATGCAACAGACAGCCTCCCCCTGCTTTGGGCTTCTGGAAGACTTGAATGGGCCCAAAGGCGGTTTGCCAATCACCAACAGTAAACAATGAATCTGGGAAGCAGAGTGGATGCCCCTAAAACAGACCCCGTTGCTCAGAAAAGAGACAATGATTACTCAGGAAGACAGTGGGATGAGGGTAGGTTTGTTGGGGTGGGAGGTGAAGGAGAGGGGAGAGAAGAAAGATAATAAGAATGAAGCAAAGAGCTCAAGAAGGAAGGGAATCTTACATGTCAATAAGCCATATGGTAAATCGCTGGCTCTTGGAGATCTTCTCTGATTCTTTCAACCTGAAATTAAAAGAATAGAAGTGACATCTACTCTCCTGTTTAACCGCAGGCCATCTCTACCCAGAGAGAGCAGTGAAAAAGGGGACCACTCACAGTTGTCAAGGCAGCCCAAAAGCCACAAGAGCAGTTCTCCACAGGTGGTCTTTGCTTAATGACTACTTGTTCAGCGATTGTTCGAACTTATGACAGTGCTAAATAAGTGGTAGTTATGACTGGACCTCGTACTTATGGCCGGTGCAGTGTGATCGCAATTTGTGACCTTCCCTGCTGGCTTCCCACAAGCAAAGTCAATGAGGAAGCCGGCAGGAAGTCAAAGTCACAGTCATGTGAGGTCCTCACTTAAAGACCCATGTGATCCTCACTTAACGACAACCGAGATAGCTGGAATTGCCATCGCTAAGTGGCGAAGTCATATGGTTTTTCGACTTACAACTGTGTCACATGATGGAGTTTCTGGTCCCAATTAGCATAGTTAAATGAGGACTACTTGTGTTGTCAAATTTGGCCCTGCTGGGTGTAGGATGCAGAAATTGGGTCTCTCTAGTTTCTGCATCTAAAGATCTGGCCTGCGTTTAAGGCCACGTGCTTCTGTAGACATGTGATCAGCCCTTCGAGGTCGACCAGATCAGGCAACTAACTGCAAGGAAGACTACAACTCTACTTTCCTGAGATTGGCCATAAAAACAGAATCTTGCAAGTCTGTCTGTGTTTTCCCTTCCCTCCTTAGTCAGCATGTTGACTGAGGAATTCTGGGAGTTGAAGTCCACACATCTTAAAGTTGCTGAGGTTGAGAAACACTGCTCCAGGGAGTTGCGGGGAGCCAGGCTGAGTCTTTTTTCTAATACTTTCCCGCATCCTTAGGCTTAATGCAAGCTTCTCCCGCGCCTGCCATTCTCCTAATGGCTTTTGGATGGTTTCTCCAAGGGCATCTCCATGGCTCTCTATCCCTGTTCAGTTTTAGAATCAGAATGAAGGAATACTGGAGGAAAACACCCAACACCATTGTCAAAATTGGGCCAAGCGAATGGGTGTGTGACCCAGGGGCGCCCACAGGGAAGAGGGAGGTCAACAAAGACGTGGCCACACCTGCATGATCAAAGCCCCATCCTTTTTTAACGTACGTTGTGTAGTGTTGGTGCCGCTGCAGCTGTCATCTTGACCTTTCTGATCGCCCCCCGTGGATACTAGTTTACCCTGGAAAATTCTGTGTCTCATGTCCAAGCAGTTACATAACTTTGGAATCCCATTTCCACACCAGGATCCCTCTTGGCAACAGAGTGGATTCCATTCCGGCAATTTAATCTGGAGAATCCCTCACCTCGCCCGTTCAGATCTTGAGACGGGGCTTGCAATGCACTCCGCAATGCACTTTCAGATCTCTACATGAAGCTAAAAGACCTATCGGGCAACGATCACCTTGTTCCCCAATCTGGACTACTTTCTACCATGTTCTAGTTCTCTACTCGAGAACAGGCTAAAGAGGGAGATAGGGTCGGAGAACTGGAGTTTGCAACTTTACAGTCTTTGCTGAATGAAATGAAACCTTGCTTAGATGTGATAAAAACGCTTGGCTTTATGTGGGTGCTTTAAAATCTTTAGGTCAAGGCGACCCGTGCTCATTTTTCTAACCAAATAGTGACTAAGGGTTTCCCGGTGGGGAAGACGTTTTGAGAAGCACGGGAAGATTAAAATATTATTTTCGTGGGTTTACCATGCTGAAAATGAACTGGGTTAAGGAAATACAGATGCTCCCACGACATAACCCAAATAGTCTTTAAAACAGTATATACCTGGAACCACTTCCTCTGGAGCAGTGTTTCTCAACCCTGGCAACTTGAAGCTGTGTGGACGTCAACTCCCAGAATCCCCATGGCTGGCTGGGGAATTCTGGGAGTTGACGTCCACACAGCTTCAAGTTGCCAGGGTTGAGAAGCACTGCTCTGGAGTATTCCAAAGGCTGGGAGGACTCACATCACACTCAATCTCGGTCTGTTTTAACCATGGCTTACTCAATAAGCCACAATCAAATGGCTTCTGAGAACATCAGAAGCCAAACCCAAAGATGTCCGTTTTTGGTGGCCCTGGGTTCAATTCCTGCAGTAGAGTTCACTAGCACAGATCATTGGAGATGATTTATCTTGACTGCTCTGGGTGTTTTGAAGATTTCTAAACAGTTCTTCATCCTGGAGAAGATCGATCTGTGTTGCTGACACTGACTTGGCAGCACATAATCAAGCGAGACAGATCTTTCTACTGGCCCCCCCGGTTACAGAATTCCCTCCCCAGTGAGGCTCAACTGGCACCCAAATTAGCATCCTTTTGGCACTAAGGAAAGACTTTTTCTTTTTTAATTGTATTTTAATTTGTATTGTTTTATGTTTTGAATGGACCCCTTGCTGCTGCTGCCTAGTTCATATTGGGATTTTCCTTTTGCATTTTATTTGATTTTACCATATATGGTTTTATCTGAAGTGTAATTCTTTTCTAGCACGCTTTATTGTAAAGCAGCCGTAGAGCTTCAGTCATGGGTGATTTTTGATAAATAAAATAAGTAATCAATCCAATAGCTCGAAGGTACAAGGCTGGCTTGTTGCCAAAGCCAAGGAAACAGCTGCGCAGGACGTTCTGCCGAAAAGCAACTTACTTGAGAATGATGGAAGGCATTGGGATCTCCAAGAAGTCCTCCATGATCGGAAAGAAAGGAAGGAGGCCTGTGTAGAAGAGGCCAAGGAGAAGGAGGACACGGCGCAAGCAGAAGAGGATAGGAATGTGGGCGTTCTGAAGAGAGAAAAATCCAGGGACATCGCAGGAAGGTTAATTCATAGAATTACAGAATCATAGAACCACAGGGTTGGAAGGGACCTTGGTGGTCTTCTAGTCCAGCCCCCTTCATGGTGGGCTTCAACCCGCCATTGCATAGACTTCTCATTTTAGGGAATGCTGCTCAAAAATGTCATCTGAGTCCCCCCTACGAACCATCCATACTAATTTTCATGCATTTAATCCGAGGCCTCCACAGGAACCATCCATACAAATTTACATAGATACATATACAGTGGTACCTCTACTTACGAATGCCCCTACTTACGAAATTTTCGAGATACGACCAGCTCCGACCCCAAAAATTTACCTCTACTTACGAATGCCCCTACTTACGAAATTTTCGAGATACGACCAGCTCCGACCCCAAAAATTTACCTCTACTTACGAACTTGCCTCTAC